TATACTATATATATATATATATATATATATTATATTTATATATATATATATATATATATATGTATGTATGTTTGTATGTATGTATGTATATATATGTATATGTATATGTATATGTATATTTATGTATATATATTTGTATATTTGTATATATGTGTGCATGTATATATGTATGCATATATCTATATATATATATATATAATATTTATATATATTTCTATTTATTTATACATATATATATACATCTGTATATATATATATATATGCGCCAATGACATCAACAGAAGTACAAAGACATATTCAATGTCTACCATATCTCATATATCCCATACACGTTTGTGGTATCAACAGAAGCGCAAGGACCTGCAGCCCATCGACCGGGTGTTCACTGTGGTCAAAGCGTGCATTCAGGCACCGTACGAACAGACAGGTACGTCGAGTGAGTGTACTGTAGTTGTTGTGCACATGCGATACTGGACACACCACACGTGTACATAACACACCTATACATAGGAAGCCGGATATATAATATATGCATCCTATCTATACATACACACACACACACAACATGCTCTGTTGGAGTTCTATATACCTTGTGGTTGTGGTTGCTATATATAGCGCAGCCCATAGTGCCGCAGCGGTTGCCCTCGCACAGAGATTGTGACTACTGGCATTGGCCTTAAAGCCAACTGTCTATCTCCCTCGCTAAATACATACCTACAACCCTAAACCCTATACCCTAAACCCCACCAACTGTACACCCTTCTCTCCTATCCTGCAGGTGACAGCAGTGGTGATAGTAATGTGCAGCCGTCGCCCATGTACGTGCCTGACTCGCTGTCTCAGGACACACACACACAGTCGGGTACAGCCAACGCTCACGCAAACACCCCCACTACACCCATCAACCCCTCGCCAGTGCCACCCCCAGGGTATGCCACGTCTACGTTTGTGTGGTGCTGTGTGTGGGTGGGTGTAATTTAACACACACGTAAACACACTCACGTCTACGCTTCTGTGGTGCAGTGTGTGGGTGGGTGTGAGTGCAACATGCACGTAAACACACTCACGCCTTTGGTTTCTGTTTTGCGTCGTGTGGGTGTGTGTAGTTTAACACTCACGTAAACACACTCACGTCTTTGGTGTGACTTAATACGTTTCTATAGTCACTCGAGTGAGTTTGTGTCTTCTTTCCCGTCCGTGTGTGCATATGTGTATGTACTACCCCATAAGCCCTTTTTCTCTTTATTCTTATCACGTAACAACGCCGTCTTCCACTCTACCCAACTCCCAAAACATCTATTTATAAACATCTATATATAAACACCTATTTATAAACATTATTTCAAAAACATATATCTATAGACCTATTTATAAACACATTTTTATAGACATGCATCTATTTATATCCTTCCCCAGCCCTGCCGGTAATATGCCTGCCTCGGCCTTTGAACGTCAATTCGGCTCGCGCATTATAGAGCAGAGTGCGACGTTTGTGCTGTTCCATTTGATAAACAACTTCAGCAACTTCCCACCCACCGCCGGCGTTAGCAGGTATGTACTACGCTTGACTCTGTGTATATACACATGTACATGTGTGTTCAGAAGGGTAGTTGTGTGTATGAGTGTGTGTGTTTGATGTATATTTGTGTACATGTGTGTGTGTTGTAGGGAATGATAGTGATGGATGTTCATATATTGACGCATGGTGATATGTCTAGATGTGTTTTTGGCTTGGGAATTTGTATGTATACAAGAGTGCACTTATATATATATGTATATATATT